TCCCTTTTTGATCTTCTCTCTTATATGAGAGCTCTGGGCAGCCAGCCCTAGCTTCTCCAGCCATTGCATGCTTTGCTTTTTCTGATCTAGTTGGAGGCCTTCCCGCCTCCTTCCTCCCGCTTCAGTTGCCCCACCCCACCTCCATTCTGCAAGGAACAACTGAAACCCTGCCCTTTTGCCCCCTTAGCCTGTGCACCCGCCCCCCCCCCTGCACTTGGTGTTGTTGGTAAGCTGGGTGACTTTTCCTCATCTCACTGCCTCTCAAGATGTATGACTTGTACAGGGCCTGGTGCACAGAGCGTGCTCAAAAAATATGTGTCCATGTCAAAGGCAATTGTGCCAGCCCCACCCTGCTCACCAAGCCAGAATTGTGAGGGTTCAAGTCCCAGCTAGCCGGGAAGGTTGCCTACAACCAACGAGAGGGTCGCCCCCCTGCTCCCAGCTGTCTACAAGGGGAACGGGCCTGTGGCCAATTAGCTACTCTTCCCAGGAGTGGGAACAGGCACAAAAGGGTGAGCCTGGGCTCTGTGGGGCCCTGGAAGGGAAACTGGGCCAGACTCTGTGGCCCCTACCTGTGCCTCCCATTCCCAGAGTAAGGAACCAGGCAGCAGCAGCACTTACATTGGAGCCTGGGGGTCCAACGCGGCCAGCAGCTCCGGGGAATCCAGTGGCTCCCTGTGTGAGGAGAAGAGAGCCCCTGAATCCCTTAGGGCCTCAGGAGGATTGAGAACCTAATGTGTGTGGGGGGGGGCATTGGGGGGGGCAGGTCTCAGAGGCTGGTGTGGAAAAGGGTGAGGGAGCCAGAGAGGGAGAAAGGGCGCTTGGGGTCTGGCCACAGGAGCGGGCAGCTGTAGCTTCTCTGCCTCTGGCTCCTGCAGGGGGTACTCAGGTGGGCACTTAGCACCTAGGGCCAGGCCTGTCTCGGGATGGACTCAGGCTGGGAACAAGAACAGGACTAAGAAAGAAGGAAGTGGGTGAATTCCAGAACACCAAGCTGGAACATCTGGGGCCAGGCCTTCTTCATGAGACGGGAGGTAGGGGCATGAGAAGTTGCTGCACCCAAGCACCCTCCACCCCACCTGGATGAGGGTGGCGATAGAGGCCTTACTTACCGGAGGGCCTTGAGCACCTCGGGCTCCTTTAGGACCAGTCACACCAGTAGGACCCTGGGAAGGAAGGCGGGAGAGAGAGACAGTGAGGCCTGGTCGCCCAGCGGGAGGGACTATCTGAGCCCCAACAATGGACTCCTGAGGGCTAGGTTTTCAAAGATGCAGCTTTCTTGGCACTAAAATCTCAACCTGGAGAAGCTGTCACAGGGAGGCCTGCCACCCGGGCCACTAAGAGGCTTGTGTTCTAGATCTCGGGGAGGAGAAGCCCAACTGGTATGGGTGGAGCCAGTCCCAGGTCTCCCCTGTCCCCCCCCCCACAGCCCCCCTCCGCGAGACAGGCTGCTCTGTCCCAGCTGTGCATCCTCAGGGAGACATAGCCTGCACTCTGTGTCCGTCCCCAAGCACCCCTACCACACACCCCACACCCAAGACAATGAAAGTCAATTTAGTTACTTGAGCCTTTATCCCTAAGTACAAATTCCTCCTCCCCACAGCCTCTCCCTCCTGTGGCAGCAGTAGCAGCAGGCTCCACAGTCTGCTGGGTGGAAGGCCCTGAACTCAGGTGGGGTGTCCCCCAGGCCTCCCAGCCATTCTCTGCCTGTCCACCCCTCAGCCTGCACCCAGCGATCCCTGCCCTGTGGAAACAGTTCCTGGGGGAGCTCGGCACTACCTACCTGAGGCCCAGGAGCTCCAGAGGGGCCCTGAGGACCCGGGGCACCAGCATCACCTTTCTGGCCGGCCTCTCCTTGCTCACCCTTGGCACCTGGCTGGCCATCAGCACCCTGTCCCAGGAAGGATGAAGCAAGTGAAGGAGGGGAAA